CCCGGCATCGCCGCTCGCCGCTCGCCTTCAGCTCCCAAAGCACTTCCCGGTGCTTCCTGAGCGTCTCCAGGTCCTTCCGTGTTTGCTCCTGGAAGCAAAATGGATCGGGAGGTAGCCAGAGGGGTTGGGAAGGGTGGGATGCTTGGGAATGCTCCCCAGCAAGTGGGTACAGGGATGGAGAAGACACAAGAGGAGCCAGTTTCATCCTCCCATGGGATGAAGTGGAAGGGATACTCATGGAATGGGTTGGAAGAGCCCTTCAAAGCCCGTCCAATCCAGCCCCTGTGAAGGACTCAGGACCCCAAATGCCCTGTGGGATTTAGGCTCGGAATGACCATATTCCCGGGTTTAGCCCCAGAGTTGGAGTTATTCTTGCCTGGCTCTCCCCAGTTATTCCTGTGGGGATAAACCCCAACTATAGGGAACTTCCGAGCTGGCTCCAAGCCCATGATCCCAAGGAGCTCCCAGAACCCCCTTGAGATGGTCAGGAAAGGAATAACCTGGTTCATGGAGCTGCCTTTGTCCTCCCGGGTGGGTTCCTCTGCAGCGGGACCTCCACAAGCCCTTGGTCCCTCACTGCTGGAGCCAGACGCCTTCGCATCCCATGGGATCCTGTGCCACGAGCAGAGCTGCTCCGTCCCCTCCCGGCCTCCCTCCAGACCCAGGAGCTTCAGCTTCTCCACCAAGTGCTCCAGATGCTGCTTGGGCCGGAAGCTGCCTTTCCTGACGTGGTTCCGATGGGCATCTCCAATGGAGTAGCAGAGCCAGGATCGGGACGTTCCACCTCCTTCCCAGCCGAGGGGCACGGGAGCCTCATCCCGTGCTCCAGGTGGACCAGAGGTCATGGCTCCTTCAGCCCTTGTTCCCTTTGCTGCCTGCGGGGTGGACATGGAGAGGGCTCCGCATGGAGCAGCGGGAAGCTCCGGTCTCCTTGAGGTGCTGGTTTGGGAAGGGGTGAGTTGTCCTTCAGCAATCCCTGCACTTGGACACTCACCTCTTGGGCATCCCGTTGGTGTCTCCTCTCCATAGGGACCAACGTGATGGTGGGAACCATCATTCCACCCCCAACCTCAGCCTCCGACACGCTCCCTCACTGCTGCATGACCCAGTGTCCCCCTGTGGTGGCTTCCCATGGAGCAAAGCCAAAGCAGAGCCCTCCCTGTGCCCACAATCCACGGATTTAGGGTCTTCCCGTCACTGGGACCATCCCAACGGAGCCACTTACCCCGTTGCCAGCAGCTCTTGGGTTGGTTCTGATGGAGCTTTGGGTGCTTCAGTCCATGGGGCCCCTCTGTAGCCGCACTGGGGCCGCCCGGAGCTGGTCACATGCGGGATACAGGGATAAGATCATCCCTATTTAAGGAAACAGGCGAGGAATGTGCTGCCGGGACATGGCTCATTCCTGCCCCTCTGCTGAGGCCCCACTTGGACTTGTCCATCCCTCTCCTCCCACTTGGGTCTTCTCCAGTCAACCTGGCCCTGGGGCCACCACAAAGGGGCAATGATGGAGCTTTGTGGCCTTGAACTGCAGGAAGAACCCACCCGTGGGGTCACCTCCAAAAGACAAGAGCTCTTGGGGGGAGATCCCCCATGGAATGACCCAAGGACAGCCGCACAAAGGAACCAAATGCTCTCCAGAGGTTCAAGTGGTTTATTGTCCCTTGGGAAGCACCCGTTGGGTGCCCCACGGTGGGTGGAAGACACGGTTTAAGGCTCTTGGAGCGTGCAGGGATGGAAGAGGTGCCACCAAAACACGGCGAGACATGGATGGGGAAGACCACAGCGTCCATCAGCGATGTCCCAAGGTGCTTCCATCCCTCCTGCCCCTCAAGCCTTCCCTGCACACCAGGCTGGTCACCGGAGCAGGGAGATGGAGCCCAGCTCCAGCCAGAACCCCGGCCGGAGCCGCTCGCCGCGGAAGGAGGCAGGAGGGAAGGTGAAGATGGGCACCTGGTTCTCCACGTCGAAGAACCTCACCTCTCCCCACTCATAGTCCAGGGAGACCCGGATCCTCCGGGGCACCCGCGGCAGGTCCAGAGCGACGGGAGGGGACGTGAGGGCTCTGCTCTGGAAGCCCCATTGCTGCAGGGCCCAGATGCCCTCCTCGGGGCTGAAGCTGATGGGTCCCTTCCTCGCTGAGGACTCGCGGGTGACGCCGATGGCGCAGTGCTGCCCCTGGGCCACGTCCACCTCCCAGCAGTGGCGCCCGGAGGAGAAGGCTTCACATCCCAGCACGCAGGGAGCGGTGTCGAAGCGCTCGGGAAGGTCGGGAGGCTCCTGCAGGCGGTATTCCCACCGCACGCTCCGCTGGTCCCGGGAGAGGACAAGGCGCGGATGGGCCGTGGCTGGGTCCAGCGTCACCTCCGCTGCAAGAGGGGAGAGGACAAGGAGGTTAACCTCGGGCCTGCTCCTTGCCTGAAACCGGGGTCTTCTGGGGCAGCTAACGGGGGCTTGGGGGTCCTCTTGGGCATCTAATGGGGGTTTTGGGGTCCTCTTGGGCATCGAATGGGGGTTTTGGGGTCCTCTTGGGCATCTAATGGGTGTTTTTTTGTCATTTTGGGCATCTAACGGGGGTTTTGGGGTCTTTTTGGGCATCTAACGGGGGTTTTGGGGGCTTCTTGGGCATCTAATGGGGGTTTTTGTGTCATTTTTGGCA